AAACTGGGTGCAGGTATTTATGCTTATCTTTGGACATACCACTTACTCTAAATTTTTTCTTTTTGATCCTGCTCATTTAATTAATATTCCTTCTGTATATTTTCTCAATAAATTTAAGTTATTGGATAGGACCAAGTATAGAACAGTGGATTTATACCTCTGTAACCTTTCTTTAATTGATACTCTTTGGGTGTTGGATTGGTTCTCATCTTCAACTTACCGAGCGCTTTTCACACCTTTCCTTCCAGTAATGACCTGGCACTCTGACAGTAGGGCAAGGAATCTATCTAATCCATACTGGGCCAGTTAAAGTCCTTTAAGTTGTTACTGCTGGAGGGTCTTTCTTTTCTGGTCATGGAGCTGTGAAAATGAGACCTTAGAGCTGTATGTGGCATTGGTTTCTTTTGCGTGGAAAAGGTGGAGAACTCCTGATTTGGGCCATCGTCAAATGCTTTGTAGCATAGTAAACAAAGGTTACAGAATTTTCATGATCCCTTCAGAGAAGGGAATGAATTTGGTTCCACATGACTTTTTGGTGAACTTGTGCTTGTTCTTAGAATTTACCATTTCTGATAACTGATACCATGTTGTCCATTTGGATAAATTGTAATTCCACCCGCCCCCCCCCCATCATTGTCACTCTCATCCATGACCTGAAGAATATCATTACCTTCTAATCTATTACAATAAAATACAAGCTGGAATTATGAAGAAGAAAGATAGGCTCTTTACAGTTTTCTTTGCAATTATATATGCCAAATTGAATTTTATAAAAATGGGTACTGTATTTCTCTATTGTTATTTCTTTTGCAGTGATTTGCATGGAATGTTAGAGTTGTTTAAAAATGGCATTTCTAGTCATTTCTACAAAAAATTTCACATCAGGCCCTTGCTTAAGAACATTGCTCTCATTATGACAGTCTTTTTATGAAGAAATCACTTTTGTTTTAGGCATTTCTGTCTAAAACAGCCTTGCATAAATGCATTTCTGTCTATCCAGCCTTGCATAAATGCAAGGATAAAATTCTTTTACTAAGAGACGGTTGTGCTCTTCAGTGGGAACTAATGTACATAGTAAGAGCATTTGAAGTCTTCTTAAGTACAACCATAGTGAGTGTGTTTAAAAATGGTTTATTTTTATTTATTATATAAAATGTTTATTTTTGAGAGAGAGAGAGCATGCAAGTGGCGTATAGGCAGAGAGAGGGAGACACGGAATCTGAAGCAGGCTCTAGGCTCTGGCTGAGCTGTCAGGACAGAGCCCGACACGGGGCTTGAACTCATGAATCATGACCTGAGCCAAAAGTCTGAGGCTTAACTGACTGAGCCACCCAGGGGCCCTTAAGTGTTTTTTTTGTTTGTTTAGAAACATGCATTAGTAATCCTTTTGCTAGATTAACAGCTTTGAATGAATGCAATTAAATTAGTATAAAATTGAAAATAAAGCTCATCAAAGCATATTCAGTTAATTTGGTATCTGTTGTTACCCTGGGAGACTTCACATTTGAGTCTGACTTTAAGAGATTTTAGTGTTTTGCTAATGGGGGGGGGGGCGGTAGGGGTAGAATGTCTTCTGTGTGGGGAAAACAGCATGAGCAAGGGCATGGAGTTAATGGAGTTACGATTTGAGAACAGACTGTGAAGACATGAAGCTGGAGGTATGACTATTAACTATTTATTGAGCACTTACCATATTTTCAGCATTGTTCTAAGTATTTTACATTTATTCCTTACAAATGGTCTTTTGGGATAGTTGTTTTACTATCTTCGTTTTACCAGTGATGAGTCAGGTAAAAATGGTACCTGATTATGAGAGTGTTTCAGTTTGAATTAGCCATGTGGAAGGTAAAAGACAGAATAAAGCATTTTTATCAAATCCTTCAGGTGGGCTTAGATTCAAAAGAACAGTCAGTCAGTAGTCACTCAGGAGTTAAAAAAAAGTCTGAGGTTCAATGCAAAATTGTTAAAATTTTATGGCAAATGTTGATACTAAAATACTGGAATCATCACGAAATAGTCTAAGATTTCTAATGTCTTTTTATTGTATATTACTCTACAGATAAAGAAAACTGCATAAAAACACATACATAACTTAATGACTTTTTGCTTTTAAGATAAACACCCTTGTAACTACACACAGGTCTAGAAATAAATCGTTGCCAGCCACTCCAGAAGGCTTCCATGTGCCCCTTCCAATCACAGCCCATTCCTCTCCCTTGCTATATAATTGCTATCCTGACTTCTATAGTAATTGCATCTGTACGTCTCTTTTTTAATTTTATTGTCCAAAGGTGCATTCCTAAGCATTGTTGTGTGTTTTCTTGTCTCTCTTAATCTACATGTCCTGCTTGCTTTTTGTCTTGCCCCTTTCTTATGGTTTATAGATTGCACTGATTGCATACATTTTTCTTCATTCTCTGTATTTCCTGTAAATTAGTAGTTGGATCTAAAAGCTTCATCAAAGTTTAGATTTTGTTTATTTTTTATTTTTTTGGACAAGAATACTTCTAGGTGTTGAGAGATACTCTCCATCAAGATGTATGTAGTGTCTGGTTGTTTCTTTTTGTGATTTTTAGCAGCCATCGTTGCCTGATGCCTTGATCAGTGCATTTATTATGGCTTGTAATATGGTGATATTTGAATTGTCATTCTTTATTTGTAAGGTGGAATGCTTCCATAAAAAGAAACTTTTCTTTACTATTTGGTTACCCAGTGGTACAATTCAATTAGGAAAGGTAGGATAGATACATGCTTCTTAATTTACCAGTTTTCAAAATAATCCGTCAGTTCCCTTGTTCTCTGAAGGTGACCAATGAGTTGTTCTTAAATGTCATTATGAACCTATTGATTTACCACAAGTAAATATTTAATGCTATTTTATAGATGCTTTGGTAGAACTCTATTTTATGAATGTAGTGGATCTTATAAATGAAATATAAAATGTGCCTCACTTATCAACTCTTTCCACTATGTATTACTTCTATATAAATTTTAAGAGCAGCATGTTGGGATTTTGATGAAGATTGCTTCTAATCTGGATCAGTGTATGATTGCCTGTTTTTTTTTTTGATTAGTCTTGCCATAAGTTTGTAAAATGTGTGAAGTTTAAAAAAAAAATCCAGCTTTCAGTTTTGCTTTACCTCTATTTAGTGTCTGTTTCTTACTTCATTATTGTTTTCCTTTCTGTATTCTTTTATTCTTTACACTTTCTTCAGTTAATTTTATTTTTCTAATGTTCTGAGAGATACGAATTTCCAGACTTTGTTTTCCCTAGAGTGTGCAGTTAAGGTTATAAAGTCTTCTCTAAGCACTGCTTTCGTTGCAGCACACAGGTTTTTTGATGTATAAACTTTACCATTTTGTAAACGTATTTGATATGTCTATTATACATTTCAAAAATATTTTTATTTTGTTGACCCATGACTTTTCCCAAGTGTATCTCTTTATTTATGTCAGTTATCTATTGTTGCATAAAAAACCACCCCACAACTTAATGGCTTTTTGCCACAATTCTGTGGGTGGCTCGTTTTGTCTGGGTTTGCTTGTGAGGCTGCATTCGACTAGAAGATTGGCTGCACAGGAAGATTCAAGATGGCTTTACTTCTTTCTGGCTGATGGTGCTGGCTGGTGGCTTGGGTAGTAGGTGCCTTGGTTCTCATCTAAGTAACTTTTTATTATCCACTAGGCTTGACCAGTTTCCTCATGTGGTAGTCTCAGGTCAATATTCCAAGAGGCAAAAGTAAAAGAAAGGTTTTGCCACATTCTTTTGGTTAGAGCAAGTCATAAGCTCGGCCCAGATTCAAGGATGAGAAAACAGATTCCTCCTTTTTAGGAGGAACACAAAGAATATGTCTCATATTTAATTTACCAGAATTTCAGGACATTTGGAAATTTTTCTTCTATTTTTATTTTGTGTTATTGATTAACAGTACAATTGCTTTGTAGTTAATATTTCTTTTTTCATTATTTTATTTTTATTCCTTCTAGTAGTTTGGAAATTATTCTTTATTTTAATTTTTTCTTTTACTGGTGACCCTAGAAATTTTAACATATATTAAAATTTTCAAAGTTAAACATTAATAATACTTTATCATCCTTGTAAGCAGTAAAATGACTTTAGAGCAGTGGCTCCTCTTAGTTTCCTCCTGATTTATATGCGTTTGGTGTGGTGTTGTTTTTCTTTTTTTTAAAGTACTAAAAGACATTATTATTGTTTTATGTAATTTTCATTTAGAGTTATATTTACTACTCTTTAGTCTTCATTCATTTTTGCAATCTGCATCTTCCAACTAGAATCATTCTCCCCGCCACCAGCAATATGATCTTTAGTACAAATCTACTGATAATGAACTTTATGCATTTTGTCAGATAATATCTTTATTTGCTTTCATTCGTGGAAGTGTTTTTCCCCTGAATATTTAATTCTTTATTTATTTTGGGAGAGAGAAAGACAGCACAAGTAGGGGAGGGGCAGAGAGGGAGAATCCCAAGCAGGCTCTGCATTGTCAGCGAAGAGCCTGATGTAGGGCTTGATCACACAAACTGTGAGATCATGACCTGAGCCTACACCAAGAGTCAAATGTTTAACTGACTGAGCCACCCAGGTGCCCCTAGAATATTTAATTCTTGATTGGCAGTGATTGTCTTTCCACTGAAGATTTGATTCCACCATCTTCTGATTTCCATTATTAATATTGAGAAGTCAGCTATCAGTTTATAACTGTTGCCCCTTTGATGGTAATGGGTCTTTTTCTCCTCTAGCTCTAACTTTTAGGGATTTATCTTTATCTTTGACTTTTCCGGAGCTCAATATGATTTGGTTAGGTGTGGATGTTTTTATCTACCCTGCTTAGGATTCCCAGGGCCTTTTTGACTTTGTGGATTGGTTCATCTTCCATTTTGGAATATTCTCAGCCATATACCTTGTTCTCTTTCTTTATTCTTCCCGGACACCAACTAAGATAGTCTTGTTATAACCACAGTCTCTTACTTTTTTTTTTTTTCTTTTAAAACACTTCATAAATTTGTGTTTCATCCTAGTGTGGGGACCATGCTGATCTTCCTTCTCAGTATTATTCCAATTTTGTACATGTGCTGCTCACGTGAGCACTCTCTTGTTTTCCATTTTTTTTTGTTTACTTTTTATTACACTCTGGATAGTAAATTCTGATTTAGCCTCGAGATTATTAACTAGTCTCTTCAGCTGTGTGAAATCTGCTAAAACTATTAAATATTTAATTTCATTTGTTTCTGTGTTATTTTTTTAAATGTCATTTGGTTCTCTTAGGTTTGTGTTGCTTTTTATAATTTACTTGGTTTGGTAGATATCTTTGTTTTATTTTGTGTATTTCTTTTTTTTTTTTTTAATGTTTTTATTTATTTTTGAGACAGAGAGACAGAGCATGAGCAGGGGAGGGGCAGAGAGAGAGGGAGACACAGAACCTGAAGTAGGCTCCAGGCTCTGAGCTGTCAGCACAGAGCCCGACGCGGGGCTTGAACCACAAACTGTGAGATCATGACCTGAGCCGAAGTCGGACACTTAACCAACTGAGCCACCCAGGCGCCCCTTTGTGTATTTCTTTATATACAGTCTGGGGGAGGCTGGGTGGCTCAGTCGGTTAAGCAGCCAACTTCAGCTCAGGTCATGATCTCACAGTTCGTGGATTTGAGCCCCATGTCAGGCTCTGTGCTGACAGCTCAGAGTCTGGAGCCTGTTTCAGATTCTCTGTCTCCCTCTCTCTTTGCCCCTCTCCAGCTCTCACTGTGTCTCTGTCTCTCTCAAAAATAAAATAAAAAACGTTAAAAAATTTTTTTAAAGACAGTCTGCATTGTCTTTTAGGATGTGTTTGGCAGTTCCAACGTCTGAAATCTTTTTGGGTCTCCTGTTTTCTTTAATTTCTTATGGTTCCTGTTTATGGAGTCCGTTTGCTGTGTTCTTGGTTACTTTGATTATGGTCTGGACATTTTATTTCAAATTACTTACAGGGTTGTGCCTAGGTGGCTCAGTTGGTTAAACAATCCAGCTCTTGACTTTGGCTTAGGTCATGATCTCACAGTTTGTGGGTTCAAGCCCTGTGTTGGGCTCTGTGCTGACAGTTTGGAACCTGCTTGGGATTCTCTCTCTCTGCCTCTCCCCCTACTCATGTGCTCTGTCTCTCTCACTCTCTCAAAATAAATAAATAAATAAATAAACTTAAAAAAACTAAAATTACTTGTAGGAATAGTTTTGAGGCTTATAGTAAACATACTTTTCTTTTAAGAGGAAAGTTTGCTTTTTTTTTTTTTAATTTTTTTTTTTTTAATTTTTTTTTTCAACGTTTATTTATTTTTGGGACAGAGAGAGACAGAGCATGAACGGGGGAAGGGCAGAGAGAGAGGGAGACACAGAATCGGAAACAAGCTCCAGGCTCTGAGCCATCAGCCCAGAGCCCGACGCGGGGCTCGAACTCACGGACCGCGAGGTCGTGACCTGGCTGAAGTCGGTCGCTTAACCGACTGCGCCACCCAGGCGCCCCGAAAGTTTGCTTTTTACAGTACCTGGAGGCATTATCATTCAGGTTCAACTTAAACCAAATTCCTTAAGAGCACAGTCTAAGATTTTTTTTTTTTAAATGTTTATTTATTATTGAGACACAGGGAGAGACAGAGCATGAGCAGGGGAGGGGCTGAGAGAGAGGGAGGCACAGAATCTGAAGCAGGTTCCAAGCTCTGAGCTGTCAGCACAAAGCCCCATGCGGGGCCTGAACTCAAACCGTGAGATCATTACCTGAGCCGAAGTCGGATGCTCAACCAACTGAGCCACCCAGGCGCCCCCAGTCTAAAATTTTTAGTACAGCATTTTAATAAACGCAAAACATTTCAGAGTCCATATTTTTGTTTCCCAGAGGAGTCATATCATTATGTGTCCACATTATTGTCATGTTAACAATGCCTTTCAAATCAATAACTCTACTCTTGAACTTCAAATGTAAAATTTTTAAAAATTGTCTTCTGGACAATTCCATATAGTTATCTTATGGGGACTTGAAATCGAACATGTTTACAGTGAGTCCACTTATTTCCCTAACTGCTTTTTCTTTTTCTTTTTTTTTTTAATGTTTATTTACTTTTGACAGAGAGAGAGAGAAGGGGGGGTGGAGACAGACTCTGGGGCATGAGCGTAGGAGGAGCAGAGAGAGGGAGATACAGAATTCGAAGCAGGTTCCAGGCTCTAAGCTGTCAACACACAGCCTGACGCAAGGCATGAACTCAGGAACTGAGAGATCATGACCTCAGCTGAAGTTGGATGCTTGACTGACTGAGCCACCCAGGCGCCCCTCTGAATGCTTTTTCTACCGTTATTTTTTTTTATGGCTAACAGAATCACTGTCCTCCAGTCACTCACGGTGTAATTGTTTGTGAAACCTGAGGAAAATGATCTTTGCCTTTCATGGCATCAGTTTGGAACTGATGGTTTCTACTATCTCCTCTATCTTTACACAGTTTTTAAAGTCTGTGTTCTTCTCCACTTTTTTCCATATTCATTTGAACCTTGAACAATGTAGGGATTAGGAGTACTGAACTCCCATGCATTTGACAATCTGTGTATAATTTTGGACTTCCCCCAAATTTAACTACTAATAGCCTATTATTAACTGACCAGAAGAAGCCTTACTGATAACATAAATATTGATGAACACATATTTAGTATATTATATGCATTATGTACTGTATTCTTATAGTGAAGTAAGCTAGAGAAAAGAAACTATTACTCAGAAAATCATAAGAGAAAAATGCATTTACAGTCTCATACTGTAAAAAATCTGTGTGTAAGTGGTCCTGCACAGTTCAAACCTGTATTGTTAAGGGTTGGCTGTAGTCCCAGCTCTGATCTATTCCCTCACTCTGTCATTTCTAGCAGTTTCCCTATCTTTCTTTCCATTCTGATAGCCACCGCCTATGTTCAGGTCTTCACCTTCGGGCCCTAATTAACCTCATTTGGGTGTATGCTATGTATGCGCACGCACACACACACACATGCACACACACACACACACAATTTGATGTGGCTATGGAAATGAATTGAAAGAGCTTAGAGATGATAAGGAAACTATTTAGAAAGTAGGTAGGAAGAGTATAGTACTTTATGTGAGAAATTTTGATGGCCTGAATTGAAGTCCTGGAAGTACAGATGAAATGAAGAGCATAAGAGAGCGATTGGATATGAAGAGTATGAGAAAGGGAGAATACTTAAGAATAATTCCCAAGTTTGTGGTTTGGGTGGTAGCTTAGATGAAGGTACATTCACTGAGTTAGGGCCCAGGTTCAGTATGAGAAGATGAAAGACTAGATTTGGGGTAGAAAAGTAAGTTTAGAAGTATTCATTAAATATTATTTAATTTTTAGAATTTTATTTTGGAATATACTAATAAATTGATTATTCCATCAACACTAATGAAGCAGTGATTTAAAACCAATTCATTGTTTACAAAAGAAAAATAATATGAAATAATCTTGGACATTAACTGGAATAAATAATTCTTTATACTCTTTACCCCCAGCACTGGTAATGAATTGTAGCAATATTATTTCACCTATCACTTTAAATGAATGTTGATTCCATTTTTATTGACCTTAAAATTTTTGCCTGTATTTAAATGGTAAATTTGTAGAAGAACTGTAAGAAAAAAAAGTAGTATATGCTTAATTTCAGGCTTATACATATTTAAGGAAGCACCAGTTTCATTTAAGGCCAATGGTGGGATCTGTAAGAATTTTTTTTCCTTCAAAAGAGGTTCATACATTATCCCAAGTCTGAGAAATACTGGCCTGGAAGAATGAACTAGGTGAGAAAAGCTTTAGGGACAAAATTACTGTTCTGGTTAAATAAATTCTGATTAAGGTTTTCAGAATTGTTTTCTTCCTTTTTTAGTTTGAAAGCTCTTATCTAAAAACTTCTTTGTTTTAATTCTTGATAATTTCTTTTTCCTAGTCTTTAGTTGTCTCTTCCCATCTTTAGGGAACTTCCTGCCTGTTAATTTTATATGTTTTGCCAGCAGTATTAAGGAACAATTAACTCCATCTCCCCCTCCCTCACCTCTCCAAAAATAAAGAACAAACAAAATGCACTATTCTCTTATGTTCTTAGGAAGGAATCTTTCCTAGGTATCTGTTAGTATTTTTTTTTTTATGGCTTTATTGAAACATTATTGATAGACAGTAAACTGCTGATATTTAAAGTATACAACTTGATGAGTTTTGGCATGTAACACCTCTGAAATAATTATTGTAATCAAGGTAACGAACATTTCCATCATCCCAAAGTTCCTTGTGACCCTTTGTAGTCAGTCTCCTCCTTGCCCTTAGCTTGAAGCAACCACTAATCTGCCTTCTGTAACTACAGATTGGTTTTAGTTGCTCTAGAATTTCCTAAGTGGAATCATACGTTATATACTTTTTTGTCTAACTACTTTCTGTCAGCATATTGCTTTTGAGATTCATCCATGTTGTGTGTATCAATAGTTTGTGTTTTAAATTGTTGAGTACATTTTATGGATATACCACTTGCTTGTTGATGGACATTTGGATTGTTTCCAGTTTTTGACCATTAAAAATAAAGCTGCTGTGAACATTTATGTAGAGTATATGTATGGATGTATGCTTTCATTTCTCTTGAGCAAATAGGAATGGCTAGGTTGTATGGTAGGTGTATGTTTAACATTTTTTTTTGAGACAGAGCATGAGTGGGGGGGGCGCGGGGGGGGGGGGCAGAGAGAGAGGGAGACACAGAATCTGAAGCAGGCTCCAGGCTCTGAGCTGTTAGCACAGAGCCCAACGCGGGCCTCGAACTCACAGAACGTGAGATCATGACCTGAGCCAAAGTCGGACCCTCAACCAGCTGAGCCACCCAGGCGCCCCTGTTTAACTTTTTAAGAAACTGTTTTCCAAAGTGATTGTATCATTTTATATTCCCATCAACAGTATATAGGAAGATTCCAGTTGTTCCGCATCCTTGATAATTCTTGGTATGATCAGTGTTTTTAATCTGAGCCATTCTAGTGGATGAGTGTAGTGGTGTCTCACTGTTATTTAATTTGCATTTCTCTAAAAACTAAGGGAACGTTTGAGCAT